TATATAATATATACGTGTGTGTGTGTATGCTGGCACATGCTTCGGCTAAGGCTAAGCAGCTGCTGTTGGCCATATTTTGTCCAGCCAAGATTAGGTGACCATGACAATTGCTCAATTGCCAATTGGTCAATTGGTCAATAAGCATTGGGCATTGGGCATTGGGATCTGCTCAATGGCTTCCAAGCAACAGCTGCCCACATATTTGATAAGCTTGGCTTTAATGAGCCTGAACTGAAAGTCCATAAACTAAAGTTCAAATGGATAGTAAAAAGAAAATCAAAGAATAATCAGTAATAGTGTTAGTACCAGGAGATCCCCTGAACCTCTTGAGCAACTGATATTTTCATATTGCTAATTTCGTAGAATGTGGGTGTCTTTATAAGCGGAGCCGTTATAGCCGGATTCTACTTCACCAATATTTCCAATTTTATTGCAATCGATTTATATTTTAATCAAAATTGAACTCTAAATTAAAAACTTTTTTTTTTGTTCTTTTTTCTGAATTTACTTCATAATTTAGAATAATTTAAGTATAAATATAATAATTACACAATTCAAATTCTGATTTTGAAGTGAATTCCAATTAAAAGTATGTTAGAATGTTGGAAAATTGGTACAAAAAGATAATGTCAAGAATGTAAAGGATCGATCGGTCGGGAATATGATGTGGGTCGAGAGTGATTATGATAAGTGTGAATGGAGCTCTGGAGCTCTCTATAGTTCATCCGGAATGGGATGGGCGCCGGCGGGCGAATCCTTCTTGTCATCCTTGCCGTCCCAGGGCGCGATGTTCGCGATGCGCGGCAGATCGTCACAGTTGACGGAGGTTAACTTGCCACGCTCCTTGGCAATGTTGGCCAGAAACTCGTCGACGGCGGCCGTGGTCATTGGGCCCCTGAACAGGGCCATCTTCATTTTCATGCAGTTGACAACAGCCAGACTGGGATACTTGTAGTTGATGCCCAGCCCCTTCTCGAGGGGCATCTGAACGGTGGCCTCGCTCCAGACCCAGCCCCAGCGCTGCTTCTTGTAGTTGTGGCCGACGCCGCGCAGCACGTTCAGCATATGATTCCTGCACTTGGCGTTGCAATCCTTCAGCGTGGGCAGGAAGGCGAGCAAGCACCAGTCCTCGTTGACGCACGCATTGAACAGGGCATCCTCGCTGGTGATCTCCACAATCTTAAAGGCCGGCACCAGACCCAAATCCTGAGTGTTGACCCAGTCTATGATTCCGTCCGCTGTGCGCTTGCTTCCCTTGTACTCGATGGCGTCGGCCGCATGCTCCGTTTGAGCGGGTATATAGAAAATTGTGGGATAGCCCTGCACCTTGTACTCGGCTGCCAGTTCGCTGTGGGCGCTGGCATCGACCGCGCCCACTTTGAATTTGCCCTTCAGCTCCTTGGCCACCTTGATCCACTCGGGGGCCAGGCTCTTGCAGTGCGGACACCAGGGCGTATAGAACTCCACCAACCAAATGTCCTGCGACTTGAGCACCTGCTCCTTGAAGTCGTTCGGCTGCAGTTCGATCACATCGCTATCCATGCAAATGCTATCCTTTGCGGGAGGAGCTTCAGGATCTTCGCCGCCGATGACGTCTTTGATCTGCTTCTTGATCTCAGCCATGGCTGATTCGGCAATGGCGATCGCTGTGCGTGGCCCAAAGAAATTGATGGGATTCTTCTTATCGACACCGAAAATTTTGATCATTGGAAAGCCTTGCACTTCATACGCTGCGCTCAGCTCCGAGTTGCGCTCTCCATTGATCACGCCCAGTTTGACAACGCCTTTCAGGGCCTTGGCCAGCTGCTTGTATTCGGGCACTAGGGCGTGGCAGTAGCTGCACCACGATGCATAGAACTGTACCACCCAAATGGCATCGTCCTGTAGCACGGTGCTATCGAAGTTTTCACCGCTCAGCTCCACAACGCCATCTGTTGGCGAGTAGAGGCCGCTCGACTGGCCAGCGACCATCATGAAGAGCATCAGGACGCTGCATAGAGCGAGAATCACGAGGATCCGAATGCTCCACGATTTATTTAACTGATTCATTTTCACTTCGTCTCTATTACTGTAAATATAAATATATATT